CCCCCATTAAAGAAAGGAGAAGAAACCTTTTGCCCACCAAAGCAATGATGGAGAAGTTTTGCCTTCAAATTGCAGTAAGTTGTGCGGGACTCTGCTTTCCCCTGGCATTTCCTGGGTTTGAGCTTCCTGCCCGACGGGGTGGCACTAACAGGCTTCCCCCAGCATCTGAGAACCCCAAAACTTCAACCCAGAACAGAACTCCTATTTTGAGGTGGGGGCTGTAAAAGGAAAAGATGCTTAAATGCTTTTTCTCTCTCGCATGTCTGTAGCTAGCAAGAGACAGAGCGAAGAAGAGGCCTCTGTGTGTGAGAAGGAGAGAGAGTTAGAGAGAAGGTGTTGGGGGGAAAAGAAATAAATAGGGGCATCAGACAGAAGAAGAGGCATCACAGAGAAAGAAGGGAAAAAAATAAGCTTCTGGAAAGAAAGAGGAAAAAAGATTACTGATGAACTGGATATAGTGAAAATCTCATTGGCAGACATTTTTTTCCTAACATTCTCCTATAAAAGGAGAATTGCCCATAAAAAAGGATGCGGCTTCAGTTGCGTGGCTGCAACCGTCGCCTTGACTTTTTTCCATTCTTTTTTTCATTCCCCCCGAAAGATGACTGGGCTCCCGACTGAAAAATAACAAAGAAAGTGGCTTGGGTGTTCTGATCCCGAAATGCAGAAGTTAGCCATTTCCAAATTCAATCAGTCATGTCTGTCTAGCTGAGCTAGTTTGCACGTGTTCAGGGTTCATTACAGAGAAGATGGTTGGATAGAGATCGTCTCAGTCTGTGTTTAGTTATGCTTAGGCAGGCCCTCCTTATTCTTCCACCTTCGTTCTCTTCTATTTGAGCCCTTTCCTCATTTTGATAGTGGAGAATATCTGCCTGCCTGCCAGCCTCTTTAGGCAGATGGGCTATTGCTTTCTCCAGTACAGCAAAATACTCCGACATTTCAGATCTAGAGGGCCAACCAAAACATTACCTGACACCTCCTGCTTAACAAAGCCTCTGGTTGAACAATAAAGGCACCATGTCAGCCCTGCAAGGCAGGCCAGGTCAGGAAACAGGCAGCACAAAAAATAATCCAACTCTACTGAAATAGACTATAATAACAGTATCTTGAAAGCTCTGTCTTTCCCTCCCTCTTATCCCCAAGAGAGTCAAGGCAAGCCAGTAACAAGGTTCTCCAGCCACTATTTGGAGGTGAGACCACCATGAAATCTCTGGGCTAGATTGGGAAGCTAAAATAAATAAATAAATAAATGGTGGCCTGGAAGAAGACAATAGCATACCTTGTGGGTTTTGTTGTCAAAACACCAACATGGACTTGAAAAAGGAAGGTGAATTCCATTTATCCTAACTTCTTAGTATCAAGTCAACTTGCCAGATGCTTTATCTGGCATTATTGTACCCAACAAAACTTAGGGGTCTTTTTGTAGGGAATGAAGGGGGAGGAGGGTGCCATCCTCATGGGGAGATATGATGGGGGGGAAGGTGTGGTATCGGAGACAGAGAATGGCTGAGGGATTATCAGTGCATGCAAGAAATGGGCTCAAATGAAAGGAAACAGAAGTTGTCAATGGACTCCCTGCTCTGATTTCCCCCTTCTAAGATGCAACTCTCCAGTTGGAACAAACCACGGTTTGCTTAACCATTATTTAGTGCATAAACCACCATGAATCGTAACATGGCTCTTGATGAGAAAAAGTTTGCTCTGCCTTTTTCAATCCTCTTAACTTCCTGGTTTCTGCCTTGGCATAATCCCTGAGCCCAACTCATGGTAAAACTCATTCAGTAAAAAATGGTTAAGCAAACCACAGTTGAGCATCCTCTGCACATTCAAGCTATTGAATTGACCCAGGACGAGCCCAGCACCTCTCTTTTTCCCCTTAACCATCTGAGAGCAAAGAATGAAAAGCAGAAGGCTGGGTGAAAGAAAGGAAGATGTTTCCCACAAAACTATTCCAATTGCCAGGCGAAAACAAATTGCAAATGTAATTTTGCAGAGCTTTTAAAAGGCATGTGCGGTGGGGGTGGGGGGAGAGCCAGGTATTTAAAAACCTTGAGATTGAATGCAGATCAAAAGGTGCAGATATATAGAGAGAGAGCTCGCGCAATGATTTGTGTGAACAATGCAGTGATTTTCTTAGCCTCTTTCAATACGAGACAACATCAGTGACAAGCTGGGGGCCACATGATTAAGCACCACATTATCCTGGATGGCTTTTTACCGAACCCGGGGGTGGGGGGGGGGGAGAGGGGGAAATGATAACAAAAGCTGTATTGACAGAGAAGTGGAAGAAGAACGAGAAATGTACTGGAGAAATGTACTGTTCGCGGCATTACAGTGGAACAAGGGAAGGTACAGGAGAGAAAAGCGGGGGAGAGACCTTGAAATCTGCTATTTTGCGCTAATGTACTTCTCAGCGGCCCCTCCAGGATCCTCCTAGGAGGCCCTGTCCTCATCCTCCTGTGTGTGAAAGGCTCAGATGGAACCACTTTGGGTGGGAAGGCAGCAAATGCCCCGGAAGGTGGAAGCAAACCGGGAGGCGCCAAACGTTCCCAGCCCAGAATGGCTGTTGCAAGAACTCTGGGCTCAGAACGGAACATCTGTATTTTTGCCTCCCTTCCGGAGCATCAAGCAAAACATCCTGGCTTTGTTCCAAGTTCAAGATAGAACCAGATGGCCTTGAAGGGCCTGTGCTTTGCGAGGGTTCCTGAAGTCCCAAGTTTGATGACGGCTTCTTGCCACAACTGGTTTGGGCGTTGTAGCTGTGCACGTGGCTCTGTTCCTTGCAAGCCCAGAGCTTTCCTCGGGAGGGTCTGCAAAAGGCCCAGGTAGGGACCTGCGGTCTGTCCGTTTGTGGACAGGGGGGCAGCCAAAGTCTTAGCATTCAGCAGGCGAGAGGCCGGGGGCTCAGAGTGCTTAAGCCTAACTGGATCCCACAAACTCCATCATTGGCTGGGCTGGCCAGGAGCTCAGCCACCCCCAGCAAAGGCCCTCACATTTCCATTGCAGAGGGACTGAGTTAGCATCACGTATTTTTCTCTTCTCTGGCAAACGTAACGGTGGGACACGGCTTCTGTTCCCATTCCCGAAATCCTGAAGAACAGCCCCAAAACAGGTTGCCAAAATTCAACTGTTCGGGGAGGTAAAAATTGACCTTATGTGTTGGCTAGACTCATTCCCCACCCTTGCTCCAGGGGCAAAGGACCGGTGACGTAGCATCAAAATGGTTGTCAAGCCCTCCAGAAAGTTGCAGCTCCTGGCCCTTCAAACCTCCACCCAGAGTCATTCTGGGGTTGGATGGTGCCTATATTTATTCGATTTAAGTGCCGTCCAACCCCAGAATGACTCTGAGTGGCGGTGAAATTATTAAACTAAATTAAAACACCATTCACTCCTCATGTGAACTCAGACAATATGGCTCACTGAACAAACTATCACTTATTGTGACATGTCTTCAGGACAGTTGATAATACTGTAGCAGTTTATAATCCAGGCTAGAGAGACGGGGGTTGTGGGGGGTGGGTTCATTTGGCTCTGCAGGAAACCCAAATATGGGTAGTCCTCAGCTTACGACAATTGGACTGGAACTTCCATCCCTAAGCAATGCAGTCATTAAGTGAATCATGCCCAATTTTACAACTTTTGCCACGGTCATTAAGAGAATCCAGCTTCCCCCATTGACTGTGCTTGTGGAAACCCCCAGGAAGGTTGCCAATGGCGATCAGGTGACCCTGGGACGCTGCAACCATCATAAATACATGCTGGTTGTCAAGCACCTGAACTTTGAACATGTGACTGCAGGGACACTGCAACAGTCATAAATGCAAGGACCGGTCATAAGTCGCTTTATTCAGCACCATTGTAACTTCAAATGGTCATTAAATGAATGGTTGTAAGTCAAGGAATACCTGTACTGCCAACAGAAGTGGCAAGATCTCAATTTAACAACAACAGGCCTCCATTTAACAACTTTGGATGGGACAGCCAAAATTTTTGCCTGGACATGCTCCTGAAATAATGGACAAATAGTGTAAATTGACACAAATGATGCAAAGTAGGTCACCTGCCAATGACATAAATGTATATGAATGATTCCATTGGCATCTTCTGCATAACCTCGTAATTTATTTATTATTAAACTTGTATGCAAATTGCACAAACTTCTCATATCAATGTCAATGAAGTACTCCGAAATTAAATAGTTATTGCCCACAATGTTCCATTAAATCATGTTTCTCAACTTTGGCAACTTTAAGATGGGTGGGTTTCAATTCCCAGAATTCCCCAGCCAGATGCTAGCAGGGGAATTCTGGGAGTTGACGTTCACCCATCTTAAAGCATTCTGGCAGGGAAATTCTGGGAGTTGAAGTCCACCCAACTTAAAAGTTGCCAAAGTTGAGAAGCACTGCATTAAATCATGATTTTGCTGGACCAGGTTTCCATAACCTGCTATTTTCAAGCCACGTTCAAATACAACTTCAATAACTTTTCACTTCCAATCTGGGGATTTAGAGCTAACAGATCTACAGAAAACTGCACTATCAAAGGCTGCAGGATGTGATGTGTGAACCAGATCTTCCTTCTGTTGTGTTTATGGATTTTCCTACCAGCCATCTCCCCATCATCTTGGTGCAGACAGTCTAACCTCAACTTTACCCTGTCTCAAATGGTGAATGGGGAAGACCATCCAACTGACTGCACTCAAAGCTGAAACTTTATTCTCAACGAATGCTTGAGGACAAATAAGAGATGGAAAAACAGTATCCAGGACACTGGGGCCCCCAAAAAGTCAAGATGGCACAACTTGCAGTTGAAGCCCTACCCCCTTTTTACACATGCAGAAAAGGGCCAAGACTTTAGTTAAATGGGGGCTACCATCTTGACTTTCTGGACCCGCCCTCCTGCAGGGATCCTTGGCAAGTAATAGGATGTAGACTATTTTTTTACCATCCGGGGGTACTCAGAAACCATGTATTAAAATAAGAATAATAACGATAGCAACCTCCATATCATAAAAATACTTTATATGCAAGCAACGAGAGATATCTGCAAGCAGCAGGGAGCCTAAGAAGTCTCCACTGCAACGACGACAAAAAAGGTTAATTCTCAGGAACCCATAATGATTAGAAGCTTCATGGAATAATCAGCAGCTCTTTTTACAAGGGGGTGTATTGCGAGGAAAGGAGATAAAAGGCAGACATCTGCTGCTCTTTGGGAGGACCATAACCCCACCGTCATCCTTCCTGGCTGCAGGAATTATGTCCCTGTGAAAAAGGGGATTGTTTTATACACATGCACACCCCACCAGATCCTTTCTGAAGACACCATGAGGGCTGACCTGCCCCAGGGCAAGAAGACATCCAATCGTTCTGACTCTGTGCATGGTGTGTTTGGGGAGGGAGGAGACGGGGGGACCCCAAATGGGTCCCAAGGCCCTTCTCTTCAGCTACTCTGCTCAAAATAAGGAGGAAATGCCAAGAAAGTGACCTAGCATCAAGCACGGCACCTGACCTCGTTTTCCCTGTTTGTCCACCTCCTTCTTTCTCCCAGAAAAATGCTTCCTTCCAGTTCAGAGGCGGGATAGGTTGGGTGACGCTCAGACCACACAGCAGGGTTCCTCAACCTTGGCCACTTCAAGCGGGGTGGACTTCAACTCCCAGAATTCCCCAGCCAGCCTCAACTCAACTCTGGGAGTTGAAGTCCACCACGCTTGAAGTGGCCACGGTTGAGAAACACTGCCATACAGGATCCCCTCAAAAAGGCTAACTTGTTTTCCTCTTGGAAGTTGATCCTTCACCTTCCCTGACCGACAGAACCTTATTTGTGGAAATAAATCCTAATTCACCTGATGAAACATTTCTGAAATCCAGATTGCCCCAACTTGCGCTCCCACCGGACATGCTGGCTGGGGAATTCTGGGAGTTGAAGTCCACGCATCTTAAAGTCCCCAAGGTTTAGAAACACTGCTCTACAGCCAACCCACCACTGAGAGAAGAACATCTGCCATTTCTTCACCCCTGCATCTACATATGTGCGGCTGTTGCTCCATCTTAAACCCTCACTCCTCTCAGGAAAAGGAGACACAAGACAATATCCACCTTTTGCCCAGGACCAAAATCAAGGGGGTTGTGTGTGTGTGTGTGTGTGTGTGCAGATGTGAAACAATATTATGCAAGGAACTGAATTCCAAGTCTCTCCCCTTTCCTGTTGCACCACGCTGCCATTTTCAAAGAAAAAAAAATTCAGCGAAGACACAGGAATCCCAGCACCTACAGTCCAAATCCAGGCCGTTTCAACACTCCACCATTGTTGGAAAATCCAATCACAATAATCTTTTGGGTTTCCTTTTTCCTCTCCTGGCGTGAAAAGAGAGCAATGAACCGGTCACAGTGCAGACAGAGGAGTGACCAAGTGGTACGATTGTCCCCATGCTGGTAAGGGTCTACGTTCTTCCCCCAAATCCCAGGTTGTAGGTCCACCTTGAGTTCCATGCAGAAAGCTGGTAAGAAGAAGGCAAGGAGGCCTTTGGGAGCAATCAGCACCAAGGGCTGGTTAAGAGTCGTCTTTTCCCTTTTCAAACGAGAAAAACATGAAACCAATCAGTGCACACGACTGTTGCGGGGGAACGACAACTGTGTTTTGCTACTGGACTGCTGCAAAGGGTTTTAGCTGGGACCACCCCTGCAGATCACCTGCAAACTCACGCCCTGCTCATCTCTCAGCTAGACTATTGCAAGGCGCTCTACCTGGGGCTACCTTTGAAGAGTATCCAGAAGCTACAGCTGGTTCAAAATGCGGCCGTGCGGACAATCTTGGGTGCCCCAAGGATGGCACGTGTAACACCGCTGCTGCGGGAATTGCATTGGGTGCCAGTTTGCTTCCGGGTCCAATCCAAAGTGTTGGTTATGACCTTTAAAGCCATACAGGGCCCAGGTCCAGGCTACCCGAGTGACCGTCTCATCCCCATCACATCGACCAGTCCCACCTGGTCAGGCAGGGAGGGCGTGTTACAGATCGCATCAGCGAGAGTGTGTCAACTGGGGGGGGTCCCAGGAGGAGAACCTTCCCTGCTGTTGCCCCCATCCTATGGAACACTCTCCCCCCAGAGGTGAGGCAGATCCCCACTCTCCCAGCCTTCTGGAAAGGACTTAAGACCTGGCTCTGCCAGTTTGCATGGGGCGAAAAGAGTTTTAATCAATCCTGGGGGTGGGGGGGGGGCTGCGGCTCTGATGACACTCCCCAAGCTGTTCGCCAATCCTGTCATTCTTGGAATTTATTTATTATTTATTTGAGACTGTTTTTATGTTGTATTTGAACTGATTTTATCTCTGCTGTAAACCGCCCAGTCGTTTTTTAACGAGATGGGCGGTGATAAATTTGACACATAAATAAATAAAAAATAAAACTGCTGCTGGTCCAAAACGCCATGACCCGCTCCTCAGCTGGCGGCTGCTGCCATGCAGACAGAGCCCCTTGGCTCCAAACCCCCAATGGGCTTCTGGGGAGCTTCCAAGGGCAATTCAAGGCGCTGATCGACAAAGCTTGGCGCCAGAGTATTGGCAAGATTGCCCGGTTTCGGCCTGCTTGGCTCAAACACCTCAGGAAAACCCGCTTGGGATTCCCTACTTTCACAAGATTAAGGGGTGAGCCTCTTTTTTTTCCAGGTGCATCTGTGTTTTGGGATAGTCTCTCCCCAGGAACTCCACTGGCACTGGAGCAGGAGCAGAGTCCTCCCTTGGGCACGAAAGCAGCTGGGTGACCTTGAGCCGGTCCCTCTCTTTCGGCCCTGGAAGGAGGACAGTGGCAAACCCCTGCCAGGAATCAAGAGTGGCTTGAAGGCACCCGCAGAAAATTATTTCAGTAAAAGCTAAGTTATTTCGGAGAGGTTGCTGGTGCAATCTGACTAACGGTGTGATATTGTTTGATTCCTTGTTTTTATTGCCTTTTTACTGATGCACGTGAACTGCTGAGAGTGTCTTTTGGTTGCACTGAGATACCAACGCAATGAACAACGAAATACCGGTTGCGCTGGGGCCAGGGACTGGAAAGGGGCAGGGCGTTTGGAAGGGGTGATGGCTCCCATCTTGACTTTTTTGGGGAGCCTCCAGGTGCCCCTCCAGATTTTTTAGCCATTTGAACGTGTGAGGCTAGATGGTGATTTTTTAATGTGGCCAAAGAAGGAAATGACTCAGTACACATAATTTGATGGCACTCTCTCTCTGATTAACTTCATTTCAGTAAGCTTTGCATTGATTTAAACAAGACTGAGTTTTGTCTGGTCCTCTCCTGTAGGGATCATCCTTTGTCTGGCAAGCAAAATCAGTGGGGCAGTGGGGGGAACCTCTCTCCTCCCTCCCTCCCTCCCTCCCT